GGTCGATATCAGTCCTCGGGGGTGGCCTTGATCTGGAGGTGGTGGGAATGGGGGGCTGGCTGGGGGGAAGGGGAGGGGGGCAGGAAGTGGGAGAACAAGGGAATCTGTGGCTGTTGTGTAGAACTGAATAGTATTGTAAAATGAAAGAAAAAAAAGAAATTAGCAATTTTTACCAAACTACTTTGGACAGTTCATGTAGATCCATAAACACGAAAAATACTTTATATTCAAGAGTTGTTAACTTACTCTAAAATATGCATAGGGAAATTAGCAACTGAGATATGAAGCATTGAGTTTCAGCTCTCATATCCCTGGGGACAGGAGTACGCTATAGGCTATAAGTTCAGGCAATGCTTTATATGCACTTCCCACAATTATAAGAACATTGAGTCAATCATTTCCACTGTGCATCTAGGCTGAGATTTTCTCTGGATTGTAGTACATTGTAGGAAGATTGTCTGATTAAAGCACCACATCCATTGTAGGCTATGTATTCTGGAGCCGAAATGAAGTGAAGAGAGTTCAGAGGCAACTCTGGCTGCATCTGTAAAACACTTTGAAGAAGATGGAGGCATCACCAGAAGCAGATGAAGCAGCCCAAACTCACACTTCTGCTTTCCTGGTGGTTTTTGCTATGGTCTGTATCACTGTGGGACATCCACTGTAACCCTGTTGACAGTAATAAGTTGCAACATCTTCAGGCTCCACAGTGTTGATGCTGAGGGTGAAATCTGTCCCTGACCCACTGCCACTGAACCTGGAGGGGATTCCAGAGACTGACTGGGAAGCCAACTTGATAAGAAGCCTTGGAGCCTCATTTGATTTTTGCTGATACCAGTGTAAGTAATTGCTAACACCCTGGCTGGCCTTGCAGGTCATGGTGACTCTTTCTCCTGGAGTCACAGACAGGGTGGCTGGAGACTGAGTCAGCACAATGTCACCTCTGGAGGCTGAAAACATAGGAGAAATATTAGTAGCTCACAACATTGAATAAGAAAGTAGCTTTTAAACATGTAGAAAAATAAAAGATTATTTTATTATATCAATTTCTTTAAATAAGAAGTTAAATTTCATCTGATGCTGGGCTTCCAAAAGGAGGCAATAAAATTCTTTATTTAAATAACATCTCCAGTTTTTGCCATATCTAAACAGTCATACCTGAAACCCAGAAGAGCAGAAGCCCAAGGAGCTGAGATGTGGACACCATCTTCCTACTCCCTGAGTTTAAGTGTGTCATGCCACAGCCCAGAAAAAGAAATTCTTATAATATTCGAAGAGTCCGGAGCACTAAAAGGAAGAAGCACTTATGCAAATGATACTGACTTCATATATGTCCCCTTAAAGAACTGCTCAGGAGAGCAGGCTCATGTTCCTTTGGGGACTATATCTCCCCCTTCTGGTCACCTGGTGAGATGCTGGGATTTGAAAGAGACTTGTGCGTGGATCTCAAGTAAATGGTTGCAGAATCAGCACAGTTTAAGAAAGTGTCTGGGATACACCCAGTAGTTTGAAATTAAGAACATCTCTTAACCATCGACTTAGTTCAGGGTTGTGTTGTTTTCCTTGATGTTTCTTACAATATGGGCTTAATCCCATTTCACTGTCTAAACAGTCCATGAAGCATCACAACATATAATACTAAAGAGATATCATTTTAATGAGACATCATAGACAAGAAAATAGTAAGTCTGGATGTCTTAGGAAGATATTTCTCCGGAGGGTGGAATGGAAGCCTTATTAAAATTTATAATCTGTCACAGTAGAGAAACATTTCAAAGGTCAGGATATCAAAGTTTTGTTTAGCACTTTCCAGATAAAAGCCAAATATTGCTAGTTGTTTTACCACCAAGAGTGATGTAGAGTACTGGTGAAGCATTTACAGAATATTCAAACAAATTTGTTACCTAGTACATAATATTTTTATTCTACATAAAAGACAACAATTCTGATGCAGTTTAAATTAGGGGAGAAAATTTCATCAGGTCAATGTGAAGAAAGAACTTTTCCTTTCTTTTGGGCTATGTTGCCAGGCTAGAGCATATTTTTTGTTATAATCAAACAATGTCTAAGCTTTTTGAAAATCCTCAATATCCACAACACAGACCATCAAGATTCTAGATTAATGAAAGTGGGGAGAAAGGGGAGCCCTGATTCACTGTTGAATTCACAGAAATAAATGTGCAATTTTCTCAGAGAGCTACAAATACCACATGACCTAGCTGTGCCTTTCCTGTGGGTGTACCTGAAAGACTTTATAGCCTATAACAGATATAAATGCACATCCATGCATTTTGCTGGCCTATTCATAATAGTTAGGACATTGAATCAACTTAGATGTTCATGACAAGATAAATGGATAAGTAAAATGTGGTACATTTGTGCAATGAAATTTCGTTTAGCTATACAGAAATATGAAATTATGAACCTTTAAGACAAATTGATATAACTGGGGAAAAAACTATATTGACTAAATTAATCTAGTTCCAGAACAAGTGACAGATTTCTCACTCATAAATAAATTGTAATATCAAATTTTTACTTTTCTCTGTTTAATTTTGACTACAACTACATGTAAGGAGTTAGAAAGGGTTCCCCAGATAGGGCAGGTCTTTGGGAGGGGACAAAGTACCACAACTGTGATAGTAAATTAAAATGGGGGGGATGCTTTGAGAAAGAATGTTTGTCTGTGGTTGGTGTGAGAAGCTGAGAAAGAGGAGGGTTAAATACATTAAGGTTATTTTACTATCACAAAAAGAAGAATAATTCAGACTAGTAAATCATATTTGATGAGCATATTTAAGACAATTAGTCTTTGGATATAATAGAATATCTGTTGACTAGCATTATCCAGGCATTCAAAAGAAGGAACAGATATGTGTAATCACCACACTTTCCATTAACTATCAGTACACAAAGATTGTAAAGTGAAACAATTTAGATAGAATATGAGGGTTTAAGCTGACACCAACAATCTTCAAAATGCTGTCATACATGGATAAAATAAAGTATCACAGACAATGCCTCATTTCTTTCTTTCTTTTCATTTATTGAAAATTGATTTTCCCCATATAATACGATCTGATTATGGTTCCCCCTCATCTACTCCTCTAAGTTCCTTCCTACCTCCTCTCCCATCTGGATCCACCCCCTTTCAGCCTCTTATTAGAAAAGGAACAGGCTTCTTTTTATAATAATATAATGTATTCAGATAAAAAAATGATTAACACTCCAAAACTGGACAAAAGAAATAAAAGGAAAAGTGCTCCTGTAGGGCCAGCTTTCAGCAGCTCAGGAACTGAAGAGGAGGTGGGAGTCAGGACTGATACCACAACAGACTTTTTATCTGAGGGAGTAAAACATAATTCTCTGTGGCCAGAGAAAAGGGAAAAAGCACACACCCACACACATCTTCAACATATCAAAGTCTTTTTCTTTTATTTTTCCCTTATCTCTTTCCTATTGTTTCTCTTCCATCTTTCTTTCTCTTTCCTTCTTCCTTTCTTTTTCTCCCAAAAGCTTATACATCCCAGCAAAATCTTCCAGTCAACATAAAAATTATAATGTGGTTGCATTCTATTTTTCAAGTGAATGATCACAATGGTAACAAGTAAAACCACAATGTTCACCAATTTCCTTACATGATTAAACATTTTAAGTATTACAGGTGACAAACAAATTATTCCCAAAGATCCACATGAATTCACGTCCAAGCAACATGTCACAGATTAACAAAGTGTAAGCAAAGAAGGTATTTTTTTTGCAGCCAGTTCTTAACTGGGAGGCTGCATTTTTCCAGTGACAAAGAAAGGATCAATCAGTTTATTATTTATCTCAAAAAATAATCTTATAAAATAGTAAAAGAATCACAAATCTAAACGCTTTCGGAGAGGTATTTCTTTATTTGGCTTACATGTCAGTTTATCATTGACAGAAGTCAAGGCAGAAATGAAACCAGGGCAGGAACTTGGAAGCATGAACTGAAGAAGCCGTGAAGGAATGTGGCTTAGTGGTTTGCTCCCCATGGCTTGCTCTGCCTTCTTTCTTGAATAATTCAAGACCACCAGCCCAAAGGTGGCCCCACCCACAATGGTCTGGATTCTCCCACATCAATTATTAAGCAAGAAAATCTGCCCACAGACTTTACTGTAGGCAGTATACTTCTTTAGACCCAGCCTTCTCCTTCTGAGCTATGATATATTCATAGAGTGTAGTGAGTTCTCTTTCCTATATTCCATCTTAAAAAATGGTTTCTATGTTTGGTTTTTTAGTTTTGTTTTTCATTGCCCTCCTGCCATCACACACTGTAAAGAGCATCTGCTTTCTCTCTGGAGCTTTTAGTTGCCGGTGATGGGGGAGTGGTTCTACTCTAATGTCCAATATCTATTTTGTCCTTTACTTTAACTGAGCAAAGCTGGACTATTTTAATGTTCCATGTTAATAGGGTATCTGGTCTCCTATATTCATGAAATATGTCTTCCCTCAAAGACATATTCAACTTATGATATATGACTAATTAAAAATACATTAAATTGTTTTCTATGTCTACTTCCATTCCATATGTTTCAGTAAGACAGAATTATTTTAGTCTTGATAACTTCTGGGTCCTTAAACCTTAGTAAGGTGGGTCCATTTAAATTCTAACTGCTCAATCAATTTATATTCATACGCTGCATCAATAATGTACTAAAAATAAATTATGAACTTAATTATGATTTATCATTTAACCACTGAAGTAGTAGTGTGACATATTTAGCCATAAAGTGGATTCTAATACCACTGAGACAAGTTTCTTCATGTGGAAGACAAAATCAGACAATGACGTGCTTGATTGCTCATTATTTGGGTGATACAACTGGTTGTTTAGAAATGTAATACTGGCATCCATGGCTTTCCAAGAGGTGATAAGAGTGGGTTGCCTCCACATTGCAGACCATGCATTTAAAGTTCCTTGGAAAACTGTCACTGAGATGTGTGCAAACTTGCTCCCTGGATTTCCTGTGAAGATGCATAATAAACACTGCCCTCCAATTTGGGATGAAACAAATAGTCCAACTAGTCCATCTTGGTGACTAAATGAGTTTATGAGAAGTCCCTTACAGAGTTATGGAAGAGTTACTGTCCTCAGATTCAGACTCTGCACAGTTTTTCACATTAGGCTCTTCTTTTGCATAGTTTTAGGTCTTTAAGAAATTTAAACTAGGCCTGTACTTATGTCACAAACAAAGCAACAGACTTGTCTGCCGGCTGACATAACAGACTTGTGGAATGTCATATATTCATGTGGACTCAATCCCAGGTCATATCAGGGTTATTACTCACCTTGTATCCTGCTCTCACTCTGGTAAAAGTGGCTTTGTCTGGTACCATCTGGCATGGACAACTGTTAGTCTCTGCATTGCTCCCATCAGCCACTGGTGGAGGCCCCTCTGACAACAAGGGGGCTAGATACCAATCTGTGAGAATATAAGACCATTATTAGGAATCATTTTATTGACTGTTTTTTTCTATAATAGGTCCTTAGGTATTCAGAATCCACTTATTGGTCATCTAGGCAGTGTCAGGCATGGGCTCCCTCCCTTGGCATGGACCTCAAATTAGATCAGGCATTGGTTGGCAACTCCCGCAAGTTCTGGATGATAGGTTGAAAGTTTTGTGGCTGGGTTAGTGTCCCAGTCTCACCATTGGAAGTCTCGCCTGGTTACAGAGGATGGCTGCTGGTTCAGGCTCCAAATCCTTCGTTACTTGGAGTCCTCTCTTGGGGACAACCTGGTAGGATCCCGAGAGTTTCTGTTGCACTGTTTCCACATCGCCCTCCTAAATGCCCTACAGTTCCAGATGTCTCTCCCCATAGTTTCCTTCCATCACCCCACCTGATTCCTCCTGTTCCCATTTCCACCTGCCCGAGTTCACTGACAAAATCTATTCTATTTCCCCATTAAAAGACAATGTTATATACTCACTTAAAGGTGAATATTAGCCATTAAGTAAATGATAATCATTCTACAATCCACAGACCCAGAGAGGCTAAAAAGGAAGGTTCTAAGGGGCCACATAGGAAAACGTGTGCCTTTTAAGGTACAATGTTGCTGCAGACCAGTGAAAGCCACCTGTGACTACTAAGAGTGAAAGTTAAACTGTGAATATGGTGATCTCACATATTACTGGGCAATCATACACACAAGCAAAACCAGTGAGCAGGGGGAAAATCTAAACAT